AATAAAAAAAAAACAAAATCACTTCACTGGTTACAAACGAAATTATGCATTAACACACGCCAAATAGCATTGCTCTATCGAGTGCTTAAAAAGCTTATTCGATTGTGTAGTTTCGAATGAACTACTCGTTTTGGATAGAGAAATTACTGACCCGCATAATTGGTTATCGTGTTGTATAATTTAAAAAAAATCATTCACCCGATATAATTTGTCGGAAATCACGCGGTGTTCCACCCCGAATCGCATGATTTCACTTCATTAATAATTTGACTTTTTGGGCTTCCGTGCCCTGTCTGCTCACCTTGTGTTTAAAAATACAGCATTATAGTAAAATATTTGATTATGGTTTGATGCCAAAGCGAAGTTGATTTGATTGGAATTGATTGCTGACGTAAATTTTCCGATGATTTGTTATTTTAATACTGTCATCATAGGGTAGCCCTATCACTTTTTGAAACATAAACTTAATGAACATGACTATTTATCAACTAAACTGATTAAAATATACTAACTTTTAATAAGTGTGATTATTGGTTGATTATTATATTTAGATATGTACAGGAACTATGCGTTAATAAAATTAATATACAAAGCGTTAGGTAGAGGCTTAGGTAAAATGTCAAATTGATTAAGAGCAGGAATTGACCTAAAATATTTAATATTATTTTTCATCTTTATAAGTGTTTATATCTGTTCATAATTCATGTTCCATTAATTTCGTTCAGTAATAAATGTTTAAACTTGAAACTTGAATACGCTTAACATATGATGCAAATTAATTTTTAGGCGTCCAAAGCTTTAATCTAACTAAATCTGACCGCCATTTTGTCACCACTAATACATAATTACCTGTCATGTCACCTCTTAATGCTGATGAAAGGAATTTTAATATGCATATCGCGTTGAATTTGTTAATTGAATGTTAAAATTGTTTATTGAATGCAAATTGATGTCCAATCAAAATCAAAGCCTTAAATTGTAAAAGTGTAACTGTCAAAATCAATAAATCTATACTTATTCTGTTTTTAATTAAAGATAATTTTAAATTTGAAGCTGTACCTCTCAAGCCCCCTTACCCACGAATATGAGTACTCGCACTTCTAGAAAAGTAGTCCTTCCAACAATCGTTCAAATATCATTGAACCTAATCTATAACAATCCTCCGTTTATTAATATATATATGTATACTTTAATTATAATCGACGAATTATGGGCTTTTTATAAGTCTCTGTCTACCCTTCCTGTATATAGTAAATTATATCAAAAAGCAACCAAGCAGACCTATCAAATAAAGCATGTTAATATATTAAATAAACATTAAAATTCAAAATACAAATAGTAACATTTTCACAAAGTTATGAGAGAGTTTAAAAACAAATTTTATTAACAGTTCTTTTTTTCAAATTTTATCAAATTTTATTAAGAGTTTAAAAACAAATTTTATTAAAAGTAAAATTCGTTAAAACATTACCATGTGTTTTTCACAATGCCTCTTCACACTTACCCCTTAAAACAGTAACCATTGTTCAGCAAATTGCCATTTAAATTGGCATCTCAATTTAAACTGACACGTTATCACATGTCAAGAGTTGTATATGAGCGAAATAATTATTATCAGTAAGTGCTTATGACTTTTCATAAAGAATTAATTTGAGTGACACAATAAGTGAGTCAATTTGGCGTGCAATAATGAGTTGAATTGATAATAATTGTATTGTATAATAACATATTTTGAAGTTTCTTTTACATTTTAAAACAGTGAAAGTATGGAGTGAACCTACAAAATAGTACATTTTCAATATGGCAGCCTTTAATACTGTATTACATAAGTGAAATCTTTACAGGAAATATATTTTTAATTCATTCTTTTGTGCCAGTTATGTATGCGGGTAACAACTTGTATCAACTTGCTTAAGAATAAATTCTTAGAGTATTTTGTTTTTAAAAACTTGATATATACATAGGGATATGTACATATACTGACGTCACATTTTACTGTTGCTGTCGCTTTCTGCATGGCGACAAGGGTTTTTAAAATGAAATAAAAATAGAGATAAAAATCCTAGTTATTTCTAATATTATATAGTATAAATAGCCGACGCGAGCACCTTCGTATTCGTCTCTCAAAAGGAATACATTTTTCCCGTCTTTGCAATATTTATCGTCGATACTCGGCTCCTACTTTTCGTAGCGTGATGCTAGATATAGCCTTCCTCGATAAATGAGCTATCCAACACTGAAATATATTTTTAATTCGTACCAGTAGTAACTCAGATTAGAGCGTTCAAGAAATAAACAAACAAACTCTTCAGGTTTATACTATTGGTATGGATTTCATATCAGGCTGCCGACCATAAAGGACAAAAAGCCAAAACCATTTTGTAAGGAAATTAAGGACTGCATGAAGGAGATTATGGCTAGAAAGGGATTAAACAGTGATCTGTCGAATGATAGAGGATTGTAGAAGAATAAAACTCATTGCACCGAGAGATTCCATGTTTAAATTTACGTCATTAAAAGCAACTATCACTGTTATTTAACTAACTATATCCAAAACAGTTTACTAACATTTGTTCATTACACTGTATATTTGGTTGTAGCACTAAACATTTGTTGGTTGCTGTAAACACATACTCATTATGGTTGTGGCTACCGAATTTGTAAACTGTATGAGCAAACAGAATGTGCGCTTTAAGGTTTGACAGGGTTACAATGGCCCGACATGCCGATAGCTGCGTACACCGATAAGCGTCCATACAATAAAGTCAGACAAATGCAGAACAATTTTCGCACTTATATTTACATGAGCACGTAAAGCTCTGTTCATCCAGCAGCGCGGGATAACTTTGTGGCGTTTTGTATTATTATTTCGTTTGATGTTTGTAGAAAACTATTTATTGAAAGGTTTTTTAATGACTTTGTACATAAAAATAGATATTGCATTTGTAGCTATTATATGCGTTGCTTCAAATAAATGCTAGTAATATTATGCTAGTAATTTAGTAGTAGCAGTATTCTTTTAGGAATTTATATTTTATTATCACACTAAATAAAGTTTGGTTCTTGTAACGGAGGTTTTAGGGTACATATTGAAATCTTCAACTTAAGTTGTATAGGCGTATATATACTATACATACTGGTATAATTTCTCGGTATTGAGAGAAAATACGAGTATTAGCATAGTCTAGCGTTATTGTTTTATGTTTTTGTTTTTTTAAACAGTTAGTAATAATTTTAGTTATTACCGCTTAAACCGTGACGGATTAAGAATACAGAGTGTCACCACCCCTATTCATCCCGTGGATGTTGTAAGAGGCGACTTAGGGAGCAAACTAAGCAGGACAAAAGCACTGCAGAGAGAAGGAAAACTTAACAATGCCAACCCGTCTGGCCAGCGTGGTATAGTAGGCCATAACCTCCTTTCTAAGGATAGGCTTTGGCCAGCAGTGGACTGTTAAAGGCTGTTGATGTGAGGATAAAGCTTTTAAGTTCGGATAAACTTGTTCTATTATTTATTTGTCGATATGCTGTAGTTTTCTTAGTGTTAAAATTTTAGATATTTTAGTACTTATATGAAGTTTAAAAATGTTAAAAACCGACGTACGCTTTACAATAAATGCCAACCAACATACAAATGCTTTTGAATTATTTCTTCCAGCAAAAAAAGCGTCATAGCAAATTTTACTTTCTATCTTATTACATTACTTAATACATGCATTTTGGAGGTTAGGAACTTCTTATTTTACATAAATAAAACAAAGTAAGTTTATTTTTTATATTTTTTTATCACAGAAGAATGTACACTTCGTTTCGTGAGTAACAAGATTGATATAAAAACAAATATTTACAACAAACTTATCATAATTCTACATTGTAGCTGTTGGGACAATAAACGGTACCAGAGACAAATAATAGATTGTGTACGTTTTGCATTTTAAAGTTTCCAACATTGCACACTGTATGACGTATTTTATTGTAATAGAACACTGAAAAATGAGCAAAAATAACTTTGCTTGCTTTATTTCATTTCAACCTAATATGTAATATTATAATTAACATTAAAGTAACCTACTCAATTAAGATACTTAAGGTACTTACATACATTTTTTTCACATCTCAAGGAAAGGTGCATTGTTGTCAGTGACGCAAGTGGAGAGCCGTTCAAGCAAACCAACTTCTAACTACGTCAAAAAAAAATACCTGTAGGTATTCCACTCATTGAATTGATTAGTTAAAATTAAGTCCGTTATAATCTAGGGGCGCGATGCCTGTCCTAACATATAAGTATGTAAACATGATATACTGAAGCTTAATTTAATATTACGAACATAAGTACTTAAAAGTACCTACAAGAAGGCTAGAGGTACCGCTCATGAAATACACACACACAATATTATAATTGTATTGTTATTAGTGATTGTAAATAACGGTAGGTAATAACGGCTAGGTATTTTGTATATACCTTAAAATTACTTCAACAGCATCATCGGTACAATTAAAATCGTGGTCAGAAGCTACATAGGCAGTTAATTAATCTCATTCGTTATCTGCCATTTTAAATTCCGTTACGTACTGGTGCTGTTGCATATTAAAGACTTAAAATATTTTATTCTGTTATTTCAGGGTATGCACAAATACTGTGTTCTTTTTCAAATAGTAAATACATAATACAACACAAGTTTAATGGTTTACTAGAATATGTGTATTCGAATGTTAAGAGCGAGCATCACTTTGAATATGAAAATAAACAAAATAGTTATCAGTTTTATTTAAGTGCATTGCCCATATTCAAACACTTAAGCAAATACACATCTTAATATTGGATTATGAAAACAACGGTAAATCATTTTTCACCATATTGCAATCCTGCAATACATTTGTTTATTAGTTGTACAACGATTTATATAAGAAAATTTATCTAGAGCATTGATTATTTATGAAAATTACGTCACAACCGAAAATTCACCTTTGCCCCTACTTACTATCTACAACTTACTAGTTTAATGCCACGAATCGTGGAAAGGTATGAACACGGGCTTTTCGACGTGTACCGTGTTGAGAACAGGCACGTGAACTTGATGTACGACTGGCACGGTTTTGATTATAGGAACCTCTTTGATGATGGGTATCGGTTTGATAACTGGAACATGTTTGATCACAGGAACGGTTTTGATGTGGTGATGGTGTACTGTATGAACGTCATACGGTACGTGAATTCTCAAGCTGCAAAAAAGGAACGGTGTTTGAATTTTGTGTCACTATAAGAGGATGATCATATATACAATGACTATAATATTTACTCAATTATAGACGTTTCTAAGGCCTTAAAGCTATCCATACTAGTATTATAAATGCGAATGAGTGTGTCTGTTACCTCTTCACGCGTAAACCGCTGAAGAGATTTTGATAAAATTTGGTAGAGATAGTTTGATAAACTATCAAATGATAGTTTTTTATCCCAGAAATCATCATTTAAGGCAGTGAAAAGGAGGACAAGAAACTAACAAAAGATGATACTATGTACATAGAGTGATATAGTGTCATAAGTATGACCGGCATTGACACTACAGATTTTTAAAATTATAATAAAACAAACGTGTCCTGTATGTTATTGTGCTATGGCGATAATATTTATTTATGCTTTTTGAAGCGCAAAACGATGCTTGAGTTTTTGAGAATTGCAAGGAAAAGTAGGCTCTCTGAATAATAAATATAACTATACCATTAACTGACCTTTCTTATTATAAAATTGATTGATTTATTGGTCTGGCCAGAGATTGTAGCTTTAATTCCCACCTTTGACAAATTGATGTGTGATGAGCACTATAATTTTATTTATTCTGTGTCTGGGTATAATTTATCTATAATATGTTTTGAAATGAGACGATATTGAGTGAGATGTATCGAGTTAATATGACAATTATTAATACATATTTGACTACCTGTTGTAACTTTCAAGTATATGAAACAAAAGGCACCTACATAACATACCTAAGTAGGTTTGTACACATGCTGTAGGTACAACAACAATACTGCATAACTCATGTCGCGGCTGCCATTAACAGTTATGTCTGCCATAAATCTGCCAGATAGACAGCGAGATATTATCGTATTTATTATCGTGGATCTACCAAATCTCGCGATAGTAGCAAGAATAATTATGGCAGAGGGCATGAGATATGTATAGGAAATGGATTTCATTAATTTCATGTAAAGGCGGCATACGCTCTTTTTGTTGAGAATTGCTCTTATTGTGTTAATAATGAAATAGTATTAGCGTAGCTCCATAGCTAGCCATATCTTCATGTGAGTTAAATCCTATCTCTTTCTAAGTAAGTTCGCCCACGAACCATGAACGAATATGAAAAGTTAATTTGTAAAAAAAGTGCAGTAGGCTAAAATTTTAATTATGAGAAAATGACTAGAAAAACCGACCAGGCTCCAATATTGTATGAGAAGCCAAAAAAGTATGAAAAGCCAAATAAATGAACAATTTTTCAAATGTAAAACTAGATACTTATCAGTACACATAGAAACGAACTTTTGAATATATTATTTGTTAAAATGACTCATTCTCACTCTTACTAAAATATTATAAATGCAATAGTGATTATTTGTAGAAGATTATTTGTTAGATACGCTTTCACACCTCGACAACTCAATCGATCATTACTTTCGATCAATCGATAATTGTTATAATTATTATTATTACCGTGATTATCTTCCACTTAAAGAAATATAATCGTTCTATCCCTCAGGAATCCATATTATGAATGTTATAAATTAGAAATATTCTTATATTTATTATTTCAAAGATAAAAGCTTTAGATAAAGCTTTATGTCCGTCTGGTACGGAATCAAATTATAATCTGACGACAACATAATCTTCACTTAAATAATATCCTCGATTAATAAAGGCTGAATACATGTTTTTTAGTAGCTATCTGTTGCCCTAGTACTGCACCCTTGCAGATTTTGGTTCTGTTTGAAAGCAGTTTCTAAGCACTCGATAAATAAATTACAAACATTTACACACAAGAGTGGCCTTCTATTCATCCGTTCAATCATTTTTTAATTTGACCTAATACTCGTACTTAACGTGAGCGGTGAATCAAATGTAATATTGTTTCGTTTGACTTCAGCGAATAATTTAACGTATCCGAGTGTAGGTTTAACACTTGAAAGAATTATTGGTTATGTGCCAACTATTCGACAACTCATTTCATCCTCTATCACATATGATTTTTAGTATACAAATTAATAGTATACATTAGTATACATTATTATTATTAGGTATAATAATGAAATTGTTTTGTTCAGTAGTTAGTGGCAATAGATAAACTGCTGACGTAGCAGAATTACAATCGAATGGTTTCGGGTTCGAACACCACTGAATAAATTCAGTAATACAATTCAGTAATAATTCAGTAATACTGAATTTTAGTTTTAGGGTGGTTAACCAATGACCACCGTCCTCCATAAGCGCAGGCCTGGGGGTGGTAGGTGAGGCCATCTGTCACCCTAGTAGAAGCAGGCCGGTGTGGTGGCGAGACGAGCTTTGGAGTTGTGGAGCACAAAGAGGACATAGGGGTTCCCACACAGGAGGGGGTCATTTACACGCCGTAGATGGCCCGAGGTACGTCGGAGTATCAGCGTTTTCCTTCCTTGGGTACACCGGGTTCGGCGTGCGGTTGTTGGTCGGTTTGAGTCCGACATAACCATCGGTGCGTGGTATCCGAGGGCATTTCCGCACAGAAAAAAAAGAAGGATGGTTAACCAAGTAGGTTAGCACATTTGCAAATATCCTTCTATGGATGGGTGACCATTCTTATCATTGTGACCCGTCCGTGGAGAGCACGTTAAGCCTTTGATCCCGGTTACCATACAAACATCTGTGGCAATCGTTATGGTTAGTTGAGCCCTAAAAATTTACAGAACTTCAATATATGGGTTGTTGAGGTCTGATGGCAGTTTAGCCGCATCGTAGTAGACTGAAAACCGACCCCAACCCAGTTTAGGAAAAGGCTCGGAGGATGAGGACTAAGTTTTAGTTTTAGGAAGACACAAATTTCGTCCCAGGGTTTACGATATAGTTCTGTAATTAATAATTCTAACGAATCGTCTGGCTCACGTGGTTATTTTAAGAACTTAAAGTCTTTACCTACATATGTCAGACACAAAATCTTAGTGATAATAAGTATCTTAATTTAGAGGTATTGATACTTACTGTGTTCTGTGCCCATGCGGATCTGGCTCTGGAACTGGAGAAGCCAAGCACATATGGCTGGCAGCCATAACAACCAGGGTCAACTAAAAAAATCATAGTTGAGTTATATCTAGCTTTCATGGTACAAGCTCTGCTTAGTTTGAAACTGGATGGCGTTGTATGTTCGATGTCCGAAAATATTATTATTTATATAATATATATGAGGATTATTAGCACTTGTCTAATATCAATCATCAATATCATCTCAGCCTAAAGACGTCCACTGCTGGACATCAATGTCCAATTACTATTAATGTCTAATTTAAATGGAAGATTTAACCTATTCTTCAATAAAAAATGTGTTTTTGGATGTTTTCTAATATGTATCTACGCAATACCAAAATTTAGCTTTAGTAATTTTCTATTAATACTCCTGATTACCAGTTTTGGAGAAACATTTAAAAAAAAAGTAGGGACTATTGAAAATCATAAATCAATAAATTTATGTCACAGTTTACTTTTAATTAATTTAAAATTTAAATAAAAAAAAAACTTAAGTTAGTATCTTATGATTGGTTGCATTTAAACAAATGAGAAAAATATTTTTTACGAGGCAGTTAACGATTAGCGACGAGGCCCGGAATGAAACATTAAATATAAATGATACCGTATACTTTTTTCTTTTTATAATGAATTTAAGTTTAGTTAAATAAAGTAATATTTAAGGGTGAAATTTAAAAATAAAATCCATATAAACAAATTACTCACAGCGATGTTACGATACATGTTGGCGGGTGGCGTGTCACTGTGTACGATGCGTCCGCGCAGGAGTTAATATGCACTGGCGACGGTATGGTTGTGCAAGCTTCTACCAACGTTACGGTTCCTGCTTTGCTTGCGTATCTACGCACTTTTGTGTAATTATTATAGGCCAATCAGTGAATCGGCAACGAGGATACTAAAAACCCCTGAAAGCACTTATGCCCTGAGTTGAATGATAAGAAATTGTGTAGAAAGATATACATAGAGTCTTGTATATATTAACTACTCCTGCAGTTTTGAAAAACAAAATATAATTGTATTGTGTAGTTTTCTATTAGAGGGCTCGAACTTTTTGGTATCATCCAGTTGTAGTTACAAGTGTGTTTATGTATATTTATTTATAATATGTAGGTATTTAGAAACATATAAGTATGTTTATTAGCAGTCTGGTTACCATAGTACAGGATCTGCCTAGTTTGGGATCAGGCGGCCGTGTGTGAGAGGTGTGAAAATATTTAAAAAAAAGTATCTGACCCTTAACTCCTAATTTTCCCGTGAAATCGTGAAGTTCCCAGCTGACGGCAAAAAGCTATAAGTTATTTTGAGTAATATATTGGGTAATAATATAGGCTCTCTTAGGTAAGTGGGACCCAAATTGTGGTAGACAAAATTCGGACGTGTATGCCTCTGCCCTTCTAGCCCTTCGGGGATATAGACGTGGCTGTATATATGCAAGTATATTACACTTTTAGGATAGACTTCTTTAAATGTGCCACATACATTTTGATGTATGATATATTTCTTATATTTTTGCCTTTGCAAAATAAAGGCCAAAATATTGAGTAATAAACTAGAAATAGAATAGAATAGAATAATTTCAAAATCATGTTTTAGCCGTTCTAACGTTATTGAGTAGCATCCATCCGAGTTATAATAGATTGTTGAGATTTCTACTGATCAATAAAGACCTTGCGATGCCTTCATTTTTTTTTGGGAACTTAGTACTTAGTTTTCATTGCAATCTAGATTTACTTATCTATTTCTTGTTTATTTTAGTATCCATTACTCGAACCAACATTGTGTCAATTCATTACTATTCAATTCACCTGTTACGAGAATCACGGACAGACTACGAAAAATACATGTTAGTGAAATTGTTATGTACTCACGTTAAGTCGATTACGCGATGTTCTTTTTTAATGTAGTCAGTCATTCAATCGCTCATACCGAATTAGTTTGATAATATAAATTATGTCTTTTAAAACAACAATATAATGGTTTGAAATACATAACTCAAACAGGTTGTTCTTGAAACTTAGTACAGGAATATGATGGATGAAAAATTTACCTTTTTTTAACGAAATTTATTTATTTATTTATGGTTAACTGACAATTATTTACAATGCACCTTATAATATTTACAATCTTTTTACTGACATAAGTGTAACAATTAATTAAAAATTAACACCGCAGGTTTAGAATGCTAAGAGATATCTAGTAGGTTTTCTGTTTAAAAATGAAATAAATCTTACATTAGAGAAATAATTAGAACAACTATTTTTTTTTAATAATGACAATAACAAATTAGAAACTTAGTACAATGAATAAACAAAATTAATTTAATATAATTTTATCAATACATTCAAGTTATAAATTACCCAATCTTATTATAAAAGTTGATAATAGTACTGTAAAATTACCTAAGGTTATCGCTATAAATATCTCCTATGTCACTGCAGCCGGTGATTTCTTTGCAAAGTCTGGGAGCTGGCGAGTTGGCACTCAAAATTTTTCTACGTAAGGGTGGGAATAAGGGCGTAAGAGTGTTTCTAGGATGTCTAGATGGAGTGCGACATCTAATCAAATCAAGTAAGCGAGGGCAACTAATTTGATTACACAGAAGTTTAAATCCAAACAATGCATCAAATTCACTGCTAAAACTATTATTACTATGACTAATGGTAATATTTTTTATTAGTAAAAACAAAGTAAGTAAATACAAGTATGAAACTCATTTGTAAGCAGACACACAGGGGTCTCTCTTGAGGGTCATAAATTACTTTTACGCATTTCTTTTATTTGTTGACGAGTTTTGTGTAAATGTGAAGATTCCAGATGCTAAGGACTGGTTATAATTAACAAAAATAGTTAAAGTAACAAAATATTTAGTACTGTAACAAGTATCATTACATAAAAGATAGATACCTTATATTGATCGTTGCGTGTAATTATATGTAAAAACTATTCTAGCAGTGATATAAGGACTACATGTGCTGATGTAATGATTAAATGGTTGATTTTGCAATACATGGTAGCGCTGTTTCAAATAAATTAACTAGTTAAATTGTTGACCCATTATGTCACACGTTTTACTCTTTTTTTATAGTTTAAATATAAAAAGACTTGTGAATGTCGCTAGACCATTATTTGATTAGCTGGTTTCACAAAATAATGCTTTTCGAGAACAATTTGAAGAGTTCCCTTGATTTCTCAAAGGATTTTAATATCTGACTCTGAATTGATTCATTTGAAAGTGACTAGAAGGTATTTTATTTAAACTAAAAAGAAATCTCAATCGGTTCAGTTGTATTTAAGAGATTGAGAATTTACTTTTCAAATCAATTTACACAAAACAAACACAACAAAAAAAACTCAAAAAAGTAAGGCACTAGATTATGACATTGTATTTAAAACGATAAGTAATTTCTATTGAATGAAATAATCATAAATGTATCTATTTCAAATAGAACCCAGATAATGATACGTTTCACACAAAATAAATAATAATAATAAATGAGAGATAACAAGTGAATACATATTTTATTAATAGTTAAGATAACATTTTATGTACTTTTTTATAACTAATATACGTTTATTATTATTATGGTAAATTCACTGCGCAATATTTCCAGCAAAATACATATATCCTTCACTGTACAAAAGTAATCCGATTTAAAATTTGTCATGCAAAAATACATTGTAACTTTCAACTGGCTTTAAATGAGAACTGTGTTGAAATCAAAATGCATCATGTGTGAGGGGCAATGGCGGAGTGCAATCAAGTGTATTTCCCCTGGCTCCTCACCAACCGAGGAGAGTGTGCAGTTTTCGGTCTGTTGTTTTTTCAAGTGATTCGCTTTGTGCTCTGGATTAGTTCTAAATGTATATGATGTATATGTTTCTATTTTCATTTCTCAGAGTGATTCGTGCGCACTACTACCACACTAGTGATCAAAGAAAACTTAAAAAAAATGGTACGATTTTTTTATTTTTCCAATGTAATTTCTTCAAATTCATGGATATCTAAGAAGTTACCTTTGTATCTATATTTAGCTATTTACACATACGACCTAAACCTATAGACATACACTTTACACGAGTTAGAAATACAGAAACGTACCTACGTAAAGAAATTATTTATAACGAAAACAGACACTAGTGTATCCACGATTGCGGAAACATTATTTTACACACCTAACGAAATACATAAAACTGACTAAGTACTGTTCTTAAAAACAGTGGTCCGTAATCTCCAACATTAGGCAGAGTTTCCGCTCAAAATAATACTATACTAATTATGGACTAGTTGAGCTCATAAAACCTCTACAAGAGGTCCGTAAGTCGTCCCTGCTTTGAAGCCGCGATACTTGAGAGGCTTACAGGTGTAATCCCCTCACAGGTCACTCTGACGTCACCTGTGCTCGGATTTACTTTTTTTATACAATGTCATATGTTCTGTTTGCGCGGCTGAAAGATAACAATTTTATGGATAAAGAGGAACAGAAAAATGTTGATATAAGTAGCTCTTTTGGCTGTAAGCTGTGTTCCTTCGGTGTTTTCATGTTGTCAATCCTGTTTTATTTTATTTATTCCACTTTCCAGTATTAGTGTTAAAATTTATCTAATAAATTTTATAGGTGTCAGGCGGTTTAGAACATATTACAATTATCTTAAACGTTTCATTACCTAGCTCTATGTTTAACCTTAAACATGAAGATAGACGTATAAAATAAATGATTAAAAATAGAGTACAATATTTTCGGGACGATTTCTGTAATTATCAATAATTATTGAACTTTGAGCAGCCAAATATTGGACGACACAAAAAATATGACTATAAATCAACAATTTAACGCGGCTACGCCATATTTGGTGGATGCCACAAATCATTCTAGGCACATGCCATGTATCGGCTGATATTCATCTCGCGCGCTTTTTGACAGCTTACTGCAGCTGCCATATTGTTATGGCAGCAAGCGAAATTTAAAATTCTGTGTTGCAAATATAAATATTGATTTTAATTTTAAGCTGTTATAAAGAAAATAACAAAAAGGGTGGTCTCAATTAATGCTTTACTCATGCAAAATATCCTTAGCTGTAATTAGCAGTGCAAAATTATGCTCATTTATAAACTAATAAAAGAATTGACGGAAATATGAATATAATATTTTTTCAATCTGCCCCTATAAATATTTCTACTTTACCAGTACCTTTTTTCCCGGTCAAAGAAAATAAATATTTATAGAAATACAATGTTTACTCAAGTAGGTTCCCCGTATTATAGTACTGTCAATCAACATGATGAAAGCTTGACATTCTAAATACATATTTTGTTAGTCGGCCTCAAAACAATTGTATTCATGTAAAGAAAATATATAATATAAGCTATCTATAAAATGATATTGTAAGATTTGGCTTTTCATCGTTCAAAGTTTGTTCTTAAAAAAATTATAGCTGCGAAATTCGGTTGGAGTTGCCATATTATTATTTTCAACCATTATTGTTAGTAAACAAGCTAACCAATATTAACCGCTTACAGCTGACAGATTCTCAATCTTCAATTAGTAGGCTTCGTAATAGAAGCTTTTAATCTAGGTTTAGTTTTAAATACTCTAATCACTCTTACTGTTGTTTAGGAACGTTTGGGAATTTAATTACAAGAATTGGGCGCAATTTTGACAGCTTTATTTGTTTATCATTTAACTTCTATACAATTAATGTATAAGTATATCACTAGAGTTTAA